TGGGGAGCTGGCTGATTCAGAGGCAGCAAGGGGGAGAGGAATGCATGTAGTCGTTACGTTTAACCGATAAGCCTAGGCTTACCAGTTAATTGTGTAACCAACTACATGTTAACATTCCTAATAAAGACCACACCAGCTGTGTCTCCTTATGTTACACACATTATAATTGCCATTAAAAAAAAAAACCATATCCTCCCTCTCCCTCCCCCCTCCAAAAAAAAAAAAAGAGTTAAAATTCTGGCTGCAAAATAAGGGAAATGTTCAGCCATCTTTACAAATGCAAAAGTGTGATAGATTTCAGGGGTAGTTTTTCCAAAACAATCACTGCATATTGGATCCAGATTGCTTTCAACATGGAGATAAGGTTGCTTTCAAATACAGATTTAAAAAAGAAAAAGCAATAATTTCACTCTTTGTATATGTTTAATGACACATATTTTTGTCTCTTTCCTGTTGAACCCTAGGAAAGCTAATGGGCCAGTCCTGCAACTCACTTGTGGAGGCATGGACTCACAGCTAGAGCATTTCCTTGTGACTAGGCCTCCTTCCCCCTGCTGACAGTCCTACCATGGTCTTCCTCTTGTCATTACACAGCCCTTCAGCCAAATCACATTTAGTCCCTCCTTCCAGAATAAACAAAGAGTCCTATAAGCTAAATTCAAAACATACATAATTATTTATCCCTTCCCAGGCTCTGTAGGGCTGTGCTCCAACTCTTGTACAGAGCAATACCACTCTGGGTGTTTGCCTATCAACCTGGCTCCAAACTCACCAGTCTCTCGCCCACTTGGATCATTGTGTTTCCTCATGGGCCAGCAAAGGAATCCATCCCCTCCCTCTCATCTGGATTTCAGTCCAGGGACCCTGTAGCAAATAACTAAGGCTTGCTTCCTTTGACTCCTCACTGCCTCCCTGAATTTCTTGCTATCTTAGTTTTCTCCCAGGGCTCGCTGTACACCTACCTCCTTCAATCTCCAGCAGCAAGAGGGGAATACTGGACCTCTCCATGCATCCTCTCTCTTGCCTGGGTTTGTCCATTTATACTCAGCACCTCGCTCCTTCCCCAGCTCAGCTTCATCTTCATTTGGGCCTGGCCCAGGTGTAACTAGGTGCCTTAGGTTGCTACCTCCAGATAGCCAATGCCGGGTCACAGTGCATGCCCATCATAACATACTGTTGTATTCTAACTCATGAATATGCCCATTGACATCAGTAAGACTACTCATGAATATGGCGCAAGAGCAGGGCACCATAACTTAGTAAGCATGCCTTCATCTGACACACCTTTCATCAATATGTATTTTAAAAAGTAAAATGAAAGCAAAACAACAGATAATTAAAGTTGAATCCAGTGTGCTAATGACAAAACATGTAAAAGTGGAGCAAGGTGTAATACAATTAATTTCCTTACATGAAAAAGTGACCTTCACTTTGCCATCTGCCATTCCTGAGTTATGGGTCATTCCTGTTCTTGTGAAAATAAATTCTATTATACCATCATCCATAGCTATGTATTTTTCCTCTCTACACGTAAATTTAAAAGGTGGGAGATATAGCTACTCTCGTCTTCCTGCATTATGTATAAAGCAGACATCCTCTTACCATAACACTGGTTTTAAATTCAATATTTTTTTTAAGTGAAATATCCTATTTGTATATTCCATGACAAGATTTGTTATGAAATAAAAGGTTAAATTTATTCCTGAGCTATTGCTGTTGTTAGTAAATTGCTTAATCTGTACTTCTGCATTTATGATGCAAGCTGAGTCCTTGAATTCAATCAAACCTTATTTTAAGATGAGGATCATTTATTATGGAATCAGTTTTCCATTATAAAATTCCAATTTTCAGTGGTTTATAGCTCAGCTGTGGATGCTTTCTTTGGACTAAAACTTGGCACATCATGTTGCCAGGTCACTAGCTATTTTATTTACACTTTTTTAAATGGACCATTGTTATTTTTTGTTGTAGGAGAATAATTTTTTTAAATGGACAGTATTTTTCAGATGTTTTTGCTGTTCTTTTAATGATATTATTGAAGCTGCCGTTTTAAAGGCAACTTATCTACAATTCAGAAGCAACCATTTAATAATAGTCATGTTATTTTACCTCTGGATGCTTCATGTGTAGAATCATCTTTGGCATTTAGATCAGCCTTTCTGAAACTAGATGGAGTCCATTCCTTTAGGATGCAGAGAACCCTCTGGAAGGTGCTCTGCATTCAAACTCCCACTGAAATGGATGGGAGTTAAGAGTAATTAATACCCTGAAGACTTATCATATTAGTGATAGTGACTTAAAATTTACTAAAGTAGGATTTATTGTCTAGAGAGTCAATATGCTTCAATAGGTCTTACTGTAATGTGCTCATGTGTAAACATAGATATCCAACATGTGGGTGAAGGTATTCCAGGTATTGGAGATCCAAATGACACTGACATATTGGCTACGTCTACACTGCCCCCTCTTGCACAAGACAATATGCAAATGAGGTGATTATCACTGTGCCTCATTTGCATACTTAATGAGCTGCCATTTTTGTGCGTGGGGCTTTTGCACAAAAAGGAGCCATCTACACTGCTCCTTTTTGCGCAAAAACCCCCTCTTGCACAAGAGCCATTCTTCCTGAAAAAAGCAGTAGAACAGCTCTTGTGCAAGAGGGGATTCTTGCGCAAAAATGGTGGCTCATTAAGTATGCAAATGAGGTGTGGCAATATTCACCGCTTCATCTCATTTGCATATTTTCTTGCGCAAGAGAGAGCAGTGTAGACATAGCCTTTATGTCTGGGGAAAACGAACTCCCTTGAGCTCCTTTGTATCATCTCAGACACATGGGTTGTTTTCTCTTATTGTAGCTGTGAAGCAGATGCTATTTTATGGCCATCTTTTCCATCCTCACTACCTCTTACTGTAGTTTCTATTGGCTTTGTGCTGCTCCTCACTCAGACTCATTTTGTCACTCATGCATTCTTTCTTATGATGGGATGAGCTACATTTTCCCTTGACACTTTTCTTACCAGTCAATCCCGGTGCATATGCATATTTCCTTTGTGGCTTTGACTCCCTAAGCAGCTTGAAGATGTTTTTAGCTGCCATTAGTTTCCCCCTCCATAGTCAGAATGTGATTATTTGTTATTTTTCTGGCTTGAAAGGAAAGCAGGCCATATTCACTTGCTACTCTCCTCATTAATAACTGCTACTGAACTAGTCACAATTTGCTATCTCTGTTGTGTGATTGGTCATTTCAGTCACATGCTATTGTGTTTATTCCTCAATTGGCTGATTCACAAGTTCATAGATCTTTCAAGACCTGTGTGTGAAGTTTTCCATACAAATCCTTTCACATATAAATGCCATGCTCCCACCTCCCGTGGATAAAGGATATTTTGAACAGGTTTTAAAAACTTAAAAATATTTTCAAGTAAAATATTAGAGTAGGGGTCTGCAACATATGGCTCATTATAGAATCAAATATGGCTCTTTTATCATTCCCAAAATGCATGCAACTTTTTAAAATTAAAGTGAAAAATTAATTCAGCATTTTAAAAATGCATAATTACTCATGTCTCTTGAATGTGTGCATGAACCTGAGTTTGACTAGTTATCATGTAAACTTCAAACAATTGTGCAAAAAGATGCAGCAGCTGAAGTCCCATTAAAGTCTGTGAGTACAATGTTTCACTTATGTAATCATCATGTCAATTATCAATAATACTAAGTTGTATATTTTTAGTCATGCAAATGGGCGTTTTTAAATGGCTCTTTGTTAACAACTTTTTCTGAATTCTGATGTAGTTTTGCTCTTTGGTTTGAAAAGGTTGCCGACCCCTGTATGAGAGCATCTTTTAAAAGAAATGTACCATTTGAATTACCATTTCTTGAAAATAATCTGCCTCTTTCTTGAATTTCCCAGATGTACAGGTAATCTTGATATGCAAAAGACCCATCCCGCCTGCTTTCACTAGTGCAATATTTTACTCTGTTCAGTGTGACATGCTAACATACTCAAGTGATCTGTTTAACATGTCAAGAGCAGAAAACTTTATTTAATAAAAAATATTGAGCCAGAGAGCTGGCAGTATTCAGGTGCATTCAAAGCTGTTGTGATTAATTTGACAAAGTGCAAGTAGTGGTGTAACTTAAGTTGAACCTGTCTGCTTTGAATGCATCATCCAGTGCCCATTGAAATCAATAGGAGTCTTTTCACTGACTTCAGCATAAAGAATGGCAGGTGGCAGGAAGTACATGCAGCAGATACCAATCAGCTTCTGCATTGTATCACCAACATGAAATAAAAGAAAAATCTAGCACATGTGAGCTAAGGTGGCATGGATTTGGCCTAATGTGTATTCTGTATTTTCACATCTACTATATCAGTTTTAGCACTGAATAATTTCATTGCTTTATTTAAGAAAAATCTCTCAAACTCATGCTGGGTATTTCTAGTAGAATTATGCTATTCAAGGTGTTCCCTCCTAAAATCTAATCCCCTTGTTGCAGCTAACAAAACAGTCTCTGACAACTTTAGTATTTGCATAGCTGATATTTAGCTTCTCTGTCTCATGAGCCACCTTTGATTTAGCTTCTCAGTTGTCTGCAATAACGTACAACAAATACAGCACCTCAGGATCTAAGAAGTCAGTCTATGTAATAATATTTTTAAAATGGAATTGATTTTGTTTCATGTTTTTCACATATGTAAATTCAGCTTCTCATTTTAGTGTGTAAGGATTATTTTTATTTTCAGCTCTTTTTTCACCAAATCTTCTGGGTATTGGTGAAGAGCGGATTAAAAATGTGACAGAGCTCATAATAGGTTATCACGATGATATTATGAATTCCACTAACCATCCAACATATAGCAAGGAACAGTATTTAACAATAAAGCATTTATCTTGCCTTATTTAAAGGATGCTGGTTTCAAAACAAAGATGTTACTTGATGGATTAACATTATCTATCCTTCCTGCTCCTGATAGGATTTGTTTTTTCTGTTCTTAGACAGCAGGATTTCAGGAGATTCTGACTGAAATTGAAATTTTAGCTTTGATTGTGGGATGTTTATGTCATGACCTTGACCACAGGGGAACCAACAATGCCTTCCAAGCCAAGTAAGTTTTCTAATTCTTATTACTTTAATTTGTTTTCTCCCTTCCATAGCGGCACAAAAGGTGACAGAGAATAAAGAATGAAGCATTAATTTCAGGGCTCCTAGGTGAAGGCCAAGTATTCATGTGCGTACATGTAATGAGGGACTATCCATCTTTATAATTCCCTATTCGTTTTGGTAATTGCTGACTTGCCCTTTGTATCATGCTGTTGATTTGGGTTGCCCCTTGTGAACTAACTCCTAATATAGAAATGTGATACCAAACATTGATGATCCCTTCCATCAGAGTACCTGCCAACTAGAGATCTGCCGGGATGGAACATAAGAAGCATTGCAAATATCCTAGTCTCTCTTTGGCTGGTATGTTCAAATCATCATGAAACCTTTTCTAGTCATTTAATAGATTTAAATAAATATCAGGTAGAACTGAAGTCTTGTATCCACCAAAGGATGACATTCACTCCACCTGCAAAATCCCACATTTTCAATCTTTGGCATGTGGAATGGTTGCCACCAATTCAAAACTATGGTTTGTGGATCTGTGCAATCTCTCCCCATGTGATGTGGCAGTTATTCCAGCCTAACTCCGCCTCTCCAGCTATGTGAGGTCCTGGTTCCTTATGAATACACGTACATGACTTCTCTCTGACCTGTCTCCTAAGGGATTATGGGCATGACTTGGGGCGCTCTGACATGGGTGCATAGGGTGTATGAAGGTACCTCCGTGAGGCCAGCTGGTTGGTGGGATATGCTCTAGAGCTTGTGTGCTAGACTTTCTATTCAGATACTTGTCTATTAAGTGGAACCTTGCTGTACAAGCCCCAGTAAATTTCACCCTAAAAGGAAATCTAGTTTAGGGGATCTAGGGTCTGATCCTGCAGCCCTTATTTACACAGTTACATTCTATTGCCTCAAAAAGTCCCTTCCTTCATATGATTGCTAGTAGAGGCAGTATAGTGTAGTGGAAAGGGACAGGGTTTATTTCTTTTTGCCTGTGATGATAAGGAAGTTCCTTTGATCAAAGGGCATTTCTCCCCTTTCCCACCCCACTATTTATGTTTGGAAAGGTGCAGAAACTCTCCCATTGCAACATCCCAGCTGAGCTCTGCTATTGAGCTGTCAGATATCTAATTCAGGACTTATATTGTTCCATTGGCTCACTGTCATAAAGGAAACATAACCATCTGCAGATAACCAGAATCCAAAAGATTGGGGTTTTGCAGTTCCTGGGCCACAGCATTGTTTTGAGGCTCTACACTGTGGCTAGTTCTGGGGATCGAGGGGAGAAACAGCCAGCTCCAACCACAACTATTTGAAAGCCAGAGAGCTGTTTTGCCTCCCACTCTTTTTTTTTTCCAAAAAATGAAAAGAACGAAAGAAAAAAAAAAGAATCTATGCTCCACAGTGTGTAGCATACATGGATTGCTTTGTTTCTTAGGGCAAACTTCCTCATTATACTCTACCCATTTTGATGTTTCTGATGCGCCCAGTTAACATTTCCATCAGCTGTTGTTCTCAGCTGCTGGTGCTACTGCTCACTCTCAATGAAACAATAACATTGTCTGGACTGTCATTTGCCAAGGCAAGAAAAATCAATTGCAATGCTCAAGAGATAGGATTACTGGTGCAAAGGTTACAGAGCATCACCAGTTGCGTTATGCTACGGAGTCTTGGAGAAGCAGAAAAGATGAGAAACCGTGTAAGACAAATGGGAAAACTTTTCTGATTGATGTTTATGTTCCTAATTCACAAAGATAAGACTTAGGTAGGATTCCCTACATCCATGTATCCCTATAGATTCAGGCTCTGATTAACCTAACCATTTATCTCTTGGAATGTTGTGTAATATTTCTCTTGGGAAGTTTGAAACAGATTTCAACAATTGAATGCTGTCATTTCCAGTTGTTGTTTAACAACTGAGTACAAACCGGATACTGTATTCCTCTAATGCCATAAAGAAATTATTCAAGACATTTAAGAGAAGATATGACACACACATAAAATATCCCTGAAAACAGAAGTTGTACCTTTCATAACAGTAGCTATGATTTATTCTTCCAAGCTTACTTACAGAGTTAAGCATCACATTTTCCTGTTTTATCTTAGTGCCGAGTACCAATGTTTTGTGTGATGAAAGATCAAGAGGTATATGATGGAAGCAATATCCCAGTTCTTTGAAATTGCTCTGTTAGTACAACTCAGCACTGTTTTCTCTAGGGATGATGTTCCCACTTATCCCCTTCTCTATTACAGCTGCCCCTGATGATTAAATATCAGCATGGAACAGCTTTGTAGTATATGCTCCTAGGAGACGCCTGCTATTCGTTTGTAGCATAATCTCTTATACTCATTTCTTTGGAAAGAAAACCTATCTTGTCGCTTTAGGCTGGGTCCCAGAAGTGAAATACTGGTGAACATTAATCTACTCTGACAGTCCAATCCCACTCCCCTCCACCTTCCGACAATTCTCAATTTCATAATTACATTTCATAGTTTTTCTTCCTTTAAAGTTTCAGTTTTAACCATATGCTGCATATTTTGCGACTAGTGTGTATAAACAATAACCATGATTAGAAATATAGTTTAAGAATGTTAGACATCTACGGTTTCAGCTTCTGGTTTTGCCCACTGCAGGGACAGGATTTTAATGACCCTTGAGGTTCTTTTACAATAGAGTTTTGCAATACCTCTTATATACCATTGCTATTATATGTAGTATTATATGTGGGTTGGTACAAAGATAAAGGAAAAAGGCAGGCCGGACCCATTACATGTATTACATATCAGAGAGAGTATGATACACCCTTGCAATATATACATACATACACAAGACATCACCTGATTTGGAATGAAACTAGTTTTACTCTTGTTATTACAGGAAGAAATAATGCACCATCACATAGGTGCTTTTGAAAAGCTCATCCAAAATTTCTGTATTGCTCAAGAGGAATCCTTAGCTGATGCAAGCAGACTTACCAGGGTCCAGAACATGTATGTCTGCAGTTTAAATTAGGTCTATTATAAATTAGTATACTGAGCTATGGAATTACATCTTTGCCTTTCCATACACCATAACTGAGATTGTTTGGGTGAAGACATCACTTAAAATGTATTTAGTGAGAGAGGAAGTGCTAATTGATGATGCCCCTTGTTCTGTTTCAGGAGCGGATCCGCTTTGGCTCAACTATATGGAACTTCTGCTACTTTGGAGCATCATCATTTTAATCATGCTGTCATGATTCTTCAAAGTGAGGTACCAGACTAGCTGAATTATTACTTTCACTGTAGAGTGGGGGGCTATTTCACTCACAAGGAGACATGCCCCATACCCAAACTCCTTTAATTGCCCTTTCCTCTGGGCAGCATATATTGACTACCACAAAGTTCAAACACAACATAAAACCATTTAACTGCAACTGCTGACTGTTTTCCCCTGAGGCTGTCCCTGCCTCATTCAGACAGAGAAAAGGACATACCGTCTCTTGTATCCCCCTTGTATCATTCATCTTCCTTATATATACCCTTCTCGGCCATTTGATAGCCAAGGAACTCTTAATCCTTTCCCAGCTAATGTGTTTACCTTGTCACACTCACCTTCTGTTGTAAAAATAAAAATGTTAAAGCATCAAGCCTTATGGACAACCACAATATTTACAGTATGTTTGGAGTGTTTGGTTTTGTATTTTTAGTAACTGAAGTTGGTTTATTATATAGGCAGCAGTAACACCCGACATGTGCTGTGAGCTTCCAAATATATGAGGAAGCATAGTACCTGACTCAAAGTGCTTACTTTTTAATTGTACATATGATGTGACAAACTAGCAGTGTAACATAGTAATAGAGATGTAGCCGTGTTAGTCTGGTCTTGCTGAAACAAGGTGACCCTGAGGCTTTCTTTTGCCACCTCCGCCTACGAGAATATTTCCAAACTACCAACGAACATCAATCTGACCCACCAGATCCCCCCTATCAACACCAAAAGAAAAATAATTCTATATGGACTTCCCCTGACGATCAGAATTACAATCTCGATTTCTATATACAAAGCTTCCGCAACAATGCACAGACTGACATTATGCACAAATGACAACAAGCAACATACAATCTCAGTCTCGCTGAACACTATGCTATCCAGAGTCTCAAAACACCCCGGACATTATAATCAAACCAGCTGACAAAAGGGGTGCTGTAGTTATTATGAATAAGTCTGACTATGACCAGGAGGCAACCAGACAACTCTTCAACACCCCATTTAACAGATCTCTCTCCTCTGATGGCACATCAGAATACCAAAAGAAACTACACCGTCTCCTTAAAGAACTCCCTACATCTACTCGGGACCAAATCCACACAGAAACACCTTCTGAACCCCGACCAGGATTGTTATATCTGCTTCCCAAAATCCATAAACCTGGACACCCTGGACTTCCCATCATCTCAGGTATCGGCACGCTCACTACTGGATTATCCAGCTATGTAGACTCTCTTCTCAAACCCTACGCAACCAACACTCCGAGCTATCTCTGAGATACTACTGACTTCCTGAGAAAACTACAAAACTTTGATAACCTCCCTGATAACACCATCCTTGCAACCATGGATGAAGAAGCTCTATATACCAACATCCCACATGAAGATGGATTACGAGCAATTAGAAACACTATCCCAGAGGATACCACTGCCAGTCTGGTAGCAGACCTGTGTAACTTTGTTCTCACCCACAATTATTTTCAATTTGAGGACAACTTATACCTCCAGATAAGTGGCACAGCCATGGGTACCCGCATGGCCCCACAGTACGCTAACATCTTTATGGCTGACTTAGAACAAGGTTTCCTCAGATCCCGTCCCCTTTTACCTCTTCTCTACTTATGCTACATCGATGATATCTTTATGATCTGGACCCATGGCCAAGAAACACTGGATGCATTCCACAGAGACTTTAACAACCTACACCCCAACGTCAGTCTCAGCCTGGACCATTCTACACGAGAGATCCATTTTCTGGACACCACAGTACAAATCACCAATGGTAAATTAGATACTACTCTCTACAGAAAACCCACTGACTCACACAGTTACCTACATGCCTCCAGCTCCCATCCAGAACACACCATGCGATCCATCGTCTATAGCCAAGCCCTTCGATACAACCGCATCTGCTCTAATCCCACTGACAGACACCAGAAACTTCAGGATCTCTACCAGACATTTATAAACCACAATTACCCACCTGGAGAAATAAAAAAACAAATTGAAAGAGCCAGACGAATACCCAGAAACCATCTACTTCAAGACAGACTCAGGAAAACCAACAATAGAACACCAATTGTCATCACCTATAGCCCCCAACTTAAACCCGTCCAACACATTATCAATAAACTACAACCTATACTGAAACAGGATACTACACTCTGAGAGGCTCTGAGAGACAGACCCATAGTCTCCTATAGACAACCACCTAACTTCAGGATGATTCTTACCAACAACCACAGGACATACCACACTAATACCAACCCTGGAACTTTCCCTTGCAACAAACCCCATTGCCAGCTTTGTCCACATACTTACTCTGCTGACACCATAATTGGACCTAACCATTTCAGTTATAAGATCAAGAACACATATTCCTGCTCATCCAGAAATATAATATATGCCATCATGTGCCAACAGTGTCCATCTGCTATGTATATTGGACAGACTTCTCAGACACTACACCAAAGAATCAATGCACACAAAACAGACATCAGACAGTTTCACAAAGAAAAAACAGTTTCTTGCCATTTCAACCAACCTGGGCATTGTCTCAATGACCTTACTACCTGCATCCTGCTTCAAAGAGGCTTTAACACAAGACTTCAAAGAGAAGCCTCAGAACTGTCAGTCATGCTTAAATTTGACACTTTACGAATGGGGCTTAACAAAGATGCTAATTATCTCACCCATTACAAAGATAGCTTCCCCAATTATCACCTCTAATATCATTACCTCATAGACATTAACCTCCCCCCTTCATTCTCTCCTCTGTTCTAAAATATGATTTGTCTATTTATACATGTTCACTTTTTGTTTGTTTTTATCCCTTTGGTATATATGGTCATGCCAATTTACTTCCACAGTTTGATTTGAGGAAGTGGGTCTGGCCCATGAAAGCTCATCATCTAATAAACCATCTTGTTAGTCTTTAAAGTGCTTCATAGTCCTGTCTTTTTTTTTTTAGCAGCGTAACAGTGTGAGGGTGAAATAGGCAAGCAGGCAGCCAGACACTGGTTACAAAAATAAGTCACAAAGTTATTAAGTTTTGCACTTGATTTTCTATAAAATATCTTCATTACCAGGGCATGACGAACGGCGTCAAAAACTGCTCGCCAGCCCCGTACTGCACATGCGCAAGAGTCGCAATGCGCATGCGCGCACCGCGAATGAACGGGGCGCGCAGCTGAAATTGAAATGCTTACTAGGCTTCCTAGTCCGAACTACCGTTACTCCTCGTGAAACTAGGGTGGTAGTGTAGACATACCCTTATAAACCTCTACCTTTTCTCTCTGCTGCCATGTGTCCTCCCCTTGCTCCATCAGCTCTCCTGGTGCCTGCTGCCCCCCAACCCCTCACCCTCTGCTGTCTTGACTCCTGCCCTTCTCACTGCCCTCAGCCTTCCTGAGACCTGCCCCCCTCCGCCAGCCCTTCTCTCCGCCCTGTGCCCACTCCTCCAATAGCCCTACTCTGATCGTGTGAGCCCCTCTTCATCCCCTCTCCTAAAACCTCCCTCTACCCACCAGGCCTCCCTCACTCCTCTGGTGCTGGTCCCTCCCCTGCAGGTGTCTTCCCTTCTGCTTCATCCCCAGAATCCCTTGGTACCTGCACCCTCCTGGTGCCTCCTCCTTCCCTCACTGCTCCTGTCCCCTTTGCTCTCTTTTTCCCTGATACCCACCCACTCACCACCCTCTGCCCCCATTCTCCTCATGCCCCTGTACCCTCACAGATGCCTTGCTCCATCCCCGCCTTCCTCATGCCCACCCCTTCTTTTAAGCCTTCTCCCAGCACCTCCCCCTCTAGTCCCCAGTGTCCTTACCCTCTCCTCTTCCAGCATCACCCTGTCCCCCCTCCCACTGACACCTTCCCTCCTGCCCTTTTCCTCGTTGTCTGCACTTGGTCCCCTGGTATTTGTCTCTCCTGCACCCCTGTCCCTTGGTGCCGTCCTCTTTCTTCTTATTATTCTTCTCCTGACCTCCTCCCCTCAGCACAAACCCCTTCCCCATATTTTTCCCCTCCCCTCCCCACAGCCCAGCCCAGCCCCTTCCCCTCCCCAGGGGCCAGCTCTAGGTTTTTTGCTGCCCCAAGCAAAACATTCCCGCCCCCCTTTGTTGTTGTCTTTTACACATGTTTGCATTTTGCAATGGGTTTTTTTGTTTGTTTGTTTTCTTTTTTGTCCCGGCATTTTAGCCCAATAAATAACAAATAGCATTTTCATTCGTTTTTTTCCATAAAGGCAAAGGCGCTTCAAGTGACCTCCCCCTTTCACTGCTGCTGGGTCACAGCAGCCTTTTCCCTGCCCTGTCCAGCCCCTCCCTGTGGACAAACACCCCTCACTCCCGACCCACAGGGGGAGCAGGGTGCAGGGACAGCACAGAGCCAGAGGGGTACAGGGAACAGTGAGAGGGTACGGGGGTGGTGTGGGGAACGGGCAGCACAGAGCTGGGGGGGCAGGGATCGGGGGGAGCAGGATGCGGTGGAGGCACGGGGAATGGGACGCGGGGAATGGGAGGGGCAGAGGGACCGGGGTCTAGGGGCAGTGCAGGGAACGGGCAGCACAGAGCTGGGGGGGCAGGGATTGGGGGGAGCAGGGTGCGGGGTGTAAGGGCAGTGCAGAGCTAAAGGGTCGGGGCAGCACAGAGCTGGGGGGGCAGGGATCGGGGGGAGCAGGATGCGGTGGAGGCACGGGGAATGGGACGCGGGGAATGGGAGGGGCAGAGGGACCGGGGTCTAGGGGCAGTGCAGGGAACGGGCAGCACAGAGCTGGGGGGGCAGGGATTGGGGGGAGCAGGGTGCGGGGTGTAAGGGCAGTGCAGAGCTAAAGGGTCGCAGGGAAGAGGGAGAGCAGGTGGTCCGGGGAGCAGGAGAGGCATGGGGAACGGGTGGCGCGGAGACAAGGGAGGTCTGGGGCCATGGCAGGACTGGAGCCTGCGGGGTGAGGCGGGGGCTGGCTGTGCTGCATGCCGCAGCCAGCTCCCAGGGTCACGCGGCCAGAGCTTA